GCTTTGCCTTCAGACCAATCATCTTCTTTGCCTTCTTTGAACGCTCATGAGCCTCTCGACTTTCTTTCTTTCTCTTTTTCTCATGGTAATCCAAACGGTACCCATAGCGCTTTCGGTGTAACTCAATATACTCATTTTGTGGCATGGTGACGGCAGCAAAAGCCCCAGACGCAGTGTCCGGGGCGCAAAGAAGATCTCAACTTTCGGGTCTCGGAGACCCACGAGCCGCCTCAACCCACGACCAAGTCTGGAAAGGGTAACTTCCTAAAACTGCCGATTAAAGCTAAGCGCGACACACCAGTATGTTGATTGTTGAATGTCATTAAAAACCATTTTCTAAAGTTAATGGTCATGGATTTAAAGTGAGACAAGTCAGCATACTTGGGGTTTTCTCTGGTTATCTTCAAGTGAATGTGGATTATGAATGGGAAAAGCAAGAGTTAACCAGAGCTATTTTGCCAGTCTGGTGTGACAGTACAGGAAAGGGGATCAATAGTTGAGAGTGGGTATCAGCAAGGGAATATTTCTAACAAAGGACTGTGTAATTCAAACCAGGTAAGGAAAAACATGAAGACACAATGAACATCAGAGTAAATGTTAGTGTCAGTGATATGCATTTGCATGTTCTGATGGAACCAGCAAAGTGGAAGATGCTTGAAATTTTGGTGTGGTGGTTGTGGTTGGAGTGATTGGTAAGGACAATGTGTATGTCTTACCAGAGGAGGGGCTGAGGCAAAACAGACGATAAAGCACAAAGAATTGAGACAGAGGTGTGTTAGGTAATGACAATAAAATAGGAGCTAAAATCCTCAGGGAGTGGGAATTGGTGACCCAAGGGTCAGTAGTAGATTGTTTTAGGGAGGAGAGCATTGGCCTGGAAATGACACTGAAGAGCAAGGGTTATTGCTTGACCATCACTAGGCTCTGTGGCCAAGTGTTATATGAGAAAATGTTTCTCTTTGTTTCTATAGGAGAATAGTGTCCTCGGGAGTCAGGCTTCCTAGAGCAAGAAGGTAGGAGAACTTTCAAAGGAGACTGCATTGCTGGGAGGCTTCCACGGGAGAGCTAGAGAAGAGGAGAGTGGGTGTTGCATTCCATATGAGATTATGAATGTGAGGATGACAGGGCAACCATAGAGTCTGGGCTTTTCAGAAGCTATGCAAACAAATAAAGGATGTACTGAGATTGTCTTAAAGGACTAAAGGTAAACAAGTGTGGACAAGACTATAGATGGTGGGAAGGAAGGCAGACTAGAAAGGGACTGGTTTCCTTTTGAGTGTGGGGACTAAGTGCCTAGTATGATAGATATCTTTTAATTTTTCTCCTATTGCTTTTAAAATTTACAGGTCTTTAGTTATTATCAGCACTTTAGACGGACGAATTGCTGCTTTGGATCCTGAGAACCATGGTAAAAAGCAGTGGGATTTGGATGTGGGCTCTGGTTCCTTGGTTTCCTCCAGCCTTAGCAAACCAGAGGTGAGTGTTTTCTATTGAATGCTGATTGGTTAACCTAGTTGTAATGAGGCTTGTTAATAGTATGCATTTACTTGTAAGTGGGAACTCAGTGCCTGGGTGCCTGGGTTTGAGGTCTGTTGCTCACTATGTTCCCTTGGAGCATTTCCCTAACTTTCCTGTCTCTCGGTTCCCCTGTAAAGAGTGGGATTGATAATAGCCCCTACTTTGTAGAACTGTCTTGTGTATAAATGAATTAATCATATAAATGAGTAACTGAGAATACTATCTACTACGTCTGGAATTTCTGATGGTTTAGTAGTCAGGAGGTGCACTGCCAACCAAAAGGCAGGAGGTTTGAATCCACCAGTTGCTCTGCGGCAACCTCCTCTTATGCTATTTACAGCCTCTCACAACCTTCTGGAGGGTCAGCTGTGAGTTGGTTCTGGCTTGATAGTTCATAGCATCAGCAAACATAATGTCAATGTATGTCATTAATTGTAATGTTATTATAAGTTATTCTTATAAACAGTAGTAGTAACATCATTATTATCTTATTCCTAGGAATAATAAGACAAGTGTAAATAACTAAACAAATATAAATGCTAATTGTAATTATAATCATTTGAAGAGTTCATAAAATAATGATTTTAGAAAAATTTGATTATTTGCTGAAAAGGTGAGCTTGCTATATCTGAGCTCTGGAATGATAGAAAAGAGCATAGATTCAGGGAGATTGTTTCCAAAACGGCTCTGCCCGTGACTTAGACTTAGACTCTCTGAGCCTCTATCTGCCTGATGAATTGTGGGCAGGATTAAATGGAGTCAAGCTTATTTTTCTTACCTCTGGACTGTCTCTGATTTAATGTTTCATTTTCTGGAATTGCATACGTTCAGGTCTTTTAAAATGTATCTGCTCCTCACTTTTTGCCATAAATATGGTCCCAAAGATGAGGTGATTGTGTGAAAATGGTGAGTGACCACAGCAGATCATAAAACAGCTAGCAAAGTACCTTACATCATTACCTGACTGCCAGACCATTGTGTGTTGCCAACGTCATCAACAAATATAACCAAATTGATAGGTAACTTTAATCGTTATTGGTTGTTTAATGGTTATTGGTTGGCCTGTTATAAAAAGAACAAATGCCATGTGAGGATGGCCATCTCTGACTTTTACCAACTTCACAAAGGGGAATTGTCCCCATCAATAGCATCAGCAACACAAAATAAAACTAATTCCCGTGAGGTCAGACAGGTTCCCCCATGCTCGCATACCTCTTAGTACTCATTTCAATATCAATGTTGCTGCTTTCCATGGTCCAGAATCCCATAGGATAGCTTATAGACCAAACAGTACTATATTGGGAATTCAGAAGGTTATTAACAGAATACAGTCAAGACAGTTCAGAAATGTGCTTGAGGGTGCATTAGTCATGAGCCTTGCAATGTTGGCCAGTATTAAAGGTCTCAGCCCTGTCAATGTTGGCTCACTCTCACCTCCCCACCCATACAGTCCTCTAACAAACTTAGGCAAAAGGCTCTTAGCTCTGGTCCAGGGCTGTAGTAGTTCCAAGGTCCATTGTCTCCTGCCATGTCTCTGGTTGTCTCCTGTGGCTGTTGTTGCTCTTGCTCTAGTAGGCCCTGGTCTGGATGGCACAAGAATTTCTAGTCCTGAAAGAGGAATTGTATTGCTTCTTTTCTGGTGATAAGATTCCTCCTCCTGCTGGATCCTCTCAATTGAATGGTGAGACTAAGTAATCACCTTGTAGATAGGCTAACATACCCTATTCATTTATTCCCACCCATCCACCTGGCAAAGTCAAATTCAGTGGCTAAGAAAGCCATTTTGAACCCTAAACTCTTCGCAACACACCTATGTTCTTCTCAGCTTAAACTTTGTTGTTCTTTACAACAAAATGTACACTGTTAATGCATAAACTAGTTCAGTTTTTACTGTTCTATATGCAAAATGTTGAGTAACCAGATGGTTGATAAGTGGTTAGATGCCACAAAGTAGGTGGCAATGCCTTAACTGTACATGCATGTTGTAAGGCCCAAGGGCCTCTTCCATCTTTGCCAAGGGGAGTGCTAACCTTTTCTCCTTTCATACAACACCAATAAGTGAGGAGTAGGACATAGTTCATTCTTCTGAATATAACAGAAGAAGTTATCTATATCTTCTAGAAGGTCTTCAGCTTTCCCTATCAAGTTTTTCCTCCAGAACTTTCCCCAGGGTAGTCTTCTCTCTTTAATTATCAATCTTTCTTTTAAAAAACATCCTTGATGCCTTTGAGCTGTGGTGCTGGAGAAGTGTTGAGGTTACCATGGACTCCTAGGAAAACAAACAGATTCATCCCGGAGAGGGTTAAACCGGGCTGCTTTTTGGAGGCAAGGATTCTGGGGCTTCGTCTGACATACTTTGGACATGTTGCAAGGAGGGACCAGTCCTTGCAGAGGGACATCATGCTTGGGAGGGTGGAGGGACAGCACAGGAGGGGAAGACCCTCTATGAGGTGGATTGATTCAGTGACTGGGATAATCGGGATAGGTGTATCGGAGACAGTGAGATTGGCACAGGACAGAGCAGAGTTTAGGGCTGTTGTACATAGATAGCTATGAGCCACAAGCGACTCAATGACACATAACAAACAACAACAACTGGTATTAAGTTTGGAAAGGACAACTTAGTTACAGTGACCTGTCTCTAATAGCAAAATTTCCCATACTACTCAGTCCAGTAAAGACCAGCCAGAATTTCTTTCCTGGGGCCTCTGGCAAGTGCTTAAGTGAATAATGCTGCTCTCCACACTTGCTGTGTGTGAAGTCTCCACTAGACTTCCATAGTGCCTCCTGTTTGTCAGGCAGTGTTCTGGAAATAGTTGTCTTTGGGTGGCTCAACTATCAGCTGAAATGTTGGCAATTCAAACTCACCCTGTGGTGCCTTGGAAAACAGGCTCAAAGGACACAGTCTTGAAAAATCGTCTGGAGCAGTTCTGCTTTGTACTCTTGGGTGTAAGTGAGAACAGACCAGCAACTAGCCCCACCCTGCCACCCAATCAGCTCTGACTAACAGTGACTCTCCTGAGGCTGTGAATCTTTATGAGAGGAGACAGCCCACCTGTCTCCTGAGTGAGTGGTGAAATCAAATTGCTGACCTTTCATTTAGTCGGGAAACACCAAACATACTGAAAATATCTCCAGTGACTTTCCATTCAATTACTAACATACACAACAACTTATACTTATGAATGACATTGAAAACCTTTAAATGTGTATTAAAAACTGTATAGTATTCAAATGAATTATTACCCTAACTAATATTTTTCAACAGGGTTTTGCTAATATTGTTTTTGGACATGTGCATTTTGTTTTATTTTTTTTTTTAACTAGACCTGAAAGCTTATCAGGAAAAGGGGAAGACTGTAAGCTCCTTATGCCTAAGGTACAGTGTGTTGTTGTAGTGCAAACATGTGCATATGTAAAATACACACATGTACAAAAATAAGTTGCATGGTATGACAAGGAGAATGCAAATAGTCATAATAACATTGAGTGTCATTGAGTGTGCTTAAATTATAATAAACTAATTGTACTGGAAGATTTTCTTAAAAGAAGTAATTACCTTGTTTTAAAACTACAGTTTAACCCTCTTGTCATTCATAGTCCTTACTGTTTCCTGTAGTTTGTTGTTGTTAAGTGCTATTGAGTTGAGTATGATTCATAGCTATAAACATTAGATTGGAAACCTATCTTATCCTGATGATCATACTCATCATCTCTGCTACATGAGAGCCCACTGTTGCCATCACTGTGTGAATTTATCTCATAAAGGGTCTTCCCCTCCTTCTCTGACCCTCTACTCTTACCTGCATGATGTCTCCAAGGACTGGTCCCTTCCAACATGTCCCAAGTATGTGAGACTGCCCTCTTTCCCTTTCACATTTTTGCTAGAATGCTTTGAAATGTTTCATTGTAAACTTGTTTAAATAGTGTCACGTTTCACAGCAGTAAATGACTTACGGGCCAGTGTTTTTTCCATGAAAGGGAAAAATTCCAAGACCTTATTATCTAGATTTTAATTTTTTACTCGATTCAAGATTGCTCTTTTACTCTATTAACAGTGAAAAGAATGGGAATTCCAGAATACTTAATTGTGCTGATGCAAAACCTAAACCTAAACTAAGAAGCTGTTGTGTGAATAGAGCAAGCTCTTTCTTTCAAAATTAAGAAAGTTGTGCGTCAGGATTGTAACTTCTCTTCATACCTATTCAGTCTGTATGGTGAGCAGATTATTCAAGAAATTTGAGGCTATGAAAAAGAATGTGATATCAAGATCAGAGAAAGACTCATCACTAAACTTCAATGTACAGATTCAGCCTGGCTTGCTGGAAGTAAGGAGTACTAAAGCACTTGATGCAGAAGATCAGAGAATACAGGCTTCAATATGGATTGCATCTCAACGTCAAGGCAACCAAAATCCTTACAACCAGACCAATTAGCAACATCATGATGTTGTTGTTGTTGTTTAGTGCCATAGAGTCATAGATGACTCATAGTAACCCTATGAATGAAAGACCTGAACACTTGTATAACTTTCATCGTTTCTCCAAGTCCCTAGGGTTTCTGGAGGCAACCTATTTTCAGAAGTGGATGCCATTCCTGCTTCCAAGCTTGTTTTAATTGGGGAGCTCCACCAAATGCTGTCCACCGTGGGTAACCAGTATAGCATTTGACGCATCAGTGTCACAGTGTTCAGCATCACAGCATTCCCATTGGCTTTCACCATTCGAAAGCTCCTATCTGGGAGCATTCCTCTGCTTCCCCAATCTCCAATTGAATTTAAAAACCAAGGCAGGGTTCAAACTCCATGAGCTCCATCTTTCCACATTCCTCCATAATCAGGCATTTCTGTTGGCTCTCACCACCTGGAAGAACCCACCTGGGAACATTCAGCTGCTTCCCCAATAAACAGTAATTCTAGTTTTTATTTGATTAATGTTAGAATGGAATAATCTATTCCA